CTGCATCTAAAAGTATCTTTGCAGCAGAATCTGGGCTAGTGTTGACAGTTAGTCGCTGTAGTTTTTTGCAGGGTGACACATACAATCAACCGTGATACCGTCTTCATTAGATTCAGACCGAACGGTCCTAGACTGTCTCTGGCCCTTCGCCTGTGCCATCTCGTGTGGCCAGTGGATACTCAAGTCCTGCTGACCTGTTAGCAGGAGTCTTTTCTGCTGCCTTTCCTCTATTACTTATGGCTTCCATTTTTACCAAACCCAATCAGGACCCCATTTCCCCCTTACTGGTTTTACCCTCATTGCTAAATGTACTCTAAACAAGTGTGTGTTTAAGGCAAGATAGTATGTATTTACACTCAGCAGCAGCTGCATGGCATTCATTTTGAAAGTAGAATAACAGACAGTATGTCCTAGATTTTCAGGGACTATCCCAACATCATGGTGTTACGTTTAATGAAAATAATTCTTGAAATATATAACCAAAGATGACATCATTTTCTGATGCATTGAGACTTTTTATAGAAACAAATTTTTTTCAATAGAAAAAAGAAACCAAAGAAATAAGAAACCTTTTTCACATTATTATGTCTGGTTTTACATCAGGAGAATGTAATTATCGCCATTTGTTCTTACTCATCAGAGCTGAACGAAGTCTTGGGTCAGTTGAAAACCGTCTTGTTTAATTTTTGGTGCTTAAACCAGGAGTTTAAGTGTTGGGGGTGGGATTGTTCTTAAATGCAGCCGATGTGATAAGAAGGTGGATGAGGGTGTATTTCAGTTAAATCTTGTATTGAGTGCCCATCTTGGGACAGTTCGGGTTGTGTAATGTGAAGGAGTGCCATCATTTAGCAGCACTGATGTGTGTTAAGATACTCAGAGTCGGATCAAACTTTGCCATGATCTGATTGCAGTTGTTAGAGAAATTACTTGGGCTTGTGTGTGACAGTCTGTGGGGAACTCCTTCCCCAAGGTGGCTTGAATGTTCAGGGTTTGATCTTTTGTGTGGATTTGATTCCATGCTCTTGAAGACCTGCCACAGCTTGACATCATGGTGGTGTCCAGTAGCAGCTGGCGAGTCCCTGAAAGTAAAGTGACCTGGATGTCTGGAGGACGGGGGTGGGACTCCAGAAACATCGCAGGATGGTCTGGCAGGACCTGGTGAGTGGATACACAGGTTACAAAAAGGAAGGAGCTGAAGAAGAAGCACCTTGACCCCAGTTTGAGACCCATGGTGGACCCACCAGCTGTGATCATTGGCCATGGAGCTCTGAGCCCCAGAGGAAAGGCAGGGCTGGGGAGTCCAAACTTGGGAGTAATGAACACATGACTAGTCCCTAAATCTGAGTGAGTATCTCCTAAATCTGAGGAGGTCCCATGGGGGTGAGGAGAGCTGGTGGTCAGAAGCGAACCCTGATGAACACCTTCTCATGCCTGCCTTTCTGAGGTTTGTGAGACTTGCTTAACGAAGGTTATAAATGAAGGAATGAGTGAATGAGTAACAAATAGAGTTTGGTTTGACACCTCTAGAGAAATCAAAGGTGTCACAGCCCCTAAGGTCTGGCCTAATATTGATCTTTATAAAATCTAAATGTGGGTTTTCTGGTTAAAAAAAGACTGCTCACCCTTTCTGGGAAACAATTTGGCAGCCTGCACCCAGCCTTTGAAGAGCTGATATCCCTTGGCCCATCCATTCCACTTCCAGGAATCCACCCCAAGGAGGTAAACAGAGCTGCAAAGATGTGTGCACAAGGATGTTTCATATTCTTGAGATACACGTTCCCTGGAAGGTTTGCCACGGGGAGAGGGAGTGTCTTTACCATTTACCCTGAGCATCTTTTTAAGAGTTTTGATTATTAAACAATGCCAGGTGTAGGCTACAACACTTTCATTAATGCTTAGATAAAAGATGAGCATTCAGAGAAATCTGAGCTCTGCCCTTGGACACTACCCACCCCTACCCGCACCCCCGGGCCCATCTGCTCTCCAGAGTTGCTGTGTTGGGTAAGTTAGGGACCTGTTGCTACTGAGTGAAGTCTGAGCCTTTGTTGTCTTGTCATTTGGTGACACCCATGGTATGGCCCTTGTGATTTCTGGTCCAGCCTCATTTCTGGGCGCTCCTGGCTTCTCATGTCATGTTCCAGAAATATTCCTAGAGATTTCTTCAATACCCAGACTGTCGCACGCCATCAGGCCTTTGACCCGATGATCCATCTCACCTGCACTGCCCTATCCCTTTCTTTCATCTGTCTGGTGAACTCCTATTCATCCTTCAAAGCCTCCTGCAGGTTGAGTCCCCAAATAGGTTTTGCTTAGCATGATATTTGGGGAAAAATTTGAATCTGAGTGTTGTAGGGGCGGCTGACACACTCCAGCTCTGCTGTGGCCTTCGCCTCCTCCAGCTGTGTCACCCTATTTCATTTGTAATAGCCCTGACCTTCTGTGAGAAAGGTCTCAGTGTCCCCTTCAGGCGGAAATAATCACTTTCTATACCTTTGTATCCATTACTGCGCTGAGCTTCTCTATGAAAATTTTCTGAAATGTGTACTTATTTTCGGTTGTAAAGGTAATATGTATGCTTGTTAGATAAATTTTGAAAAATTACACATATAGCTATCATAATGCTGTTTTAAAAGTTTAGAACCTTTATTTTTTTATCATCATAACACAAACATTATTGTGCCACAGTAGTATAATTATTTTTAAAATATGTTTACCGTAATCAGCTGAATCTTTTGACAGTTAAGACTCCTATTTTGTAGCCCCAGCACCTAAGTGTGATGCTGTTTTGAGCCAGTGTAGGAACTTAATAAATGTTTGTTGGTTTGTTGGATTCTAGAGCTGAAAAATCAGTCTCCATCCCTACCTTCCAGGAGTCATTCTGGAAGAAGAGACACAGACCCACTCGGTATTTAATGTGTTCATTGACTCGTTCATTCAACAGATCCTTATCGATCACCTACTGTATGTTAGACAGATCACTAGCAAATTACGCTTCTCTCTTACTGACCGTGAGTTAATCCACCGCGTTTCTCTTTTGCCTGTGCTGCTAGGAACCTCGGCACTTAGCCTCCTTCAGCCTCAGGCTGTTTAGTAGTTACTTCCTCATTGTTCTGTTTTTAAAAAGTTTGTGGCCTGTGTCTTCTTTTAGAAGCTTTCTAACACAGTTTCTAAAAAAATAGGTAGATATCACAGATTAAAGGGTAAAAAATGAATTTTCAGAATGGAAATGATGACTTCAAGGTTTTTTTAAAAACCTGTTTGAAGTGTGCATTGCGCCAGCCGCGGGCACTTGTGTGGACACGTGCATACCCGAGAACTTGATGCTTTGACATATGTCCACTTGGCCTTGTACTTAAGAGGATGAACTTGGGCCTGAGCCAAACCTGACTTGGAACCTGGCTGCCCACAGCTCGCTTTATGACTTAATGTCTCTGGGCTTCAGTGTCCTCATCTGAAGTGAAAGTCATGATACCATGTAGGGTTGTTGGAGTTAATCCTCCAACCAAACCGTTAATATAAAATGCACGGTGCAGGGTTTGACACATAGTAGATTCTTGGTAATCATTACATCTAGCACAGGCTAGACTTTGGAAGGACTGAGGCTGAAGCTGAAACTCCAATCCTTTGTCCACCTGATGCGAAGAACTGACTCATTTGAAAAGACCATGATGCTGGGAAAGACTGAGGGTGGGAGGAGAAGGGGACGACAGAGGATGAGATGGTTGGATGGCATCACTGATTCGACAGACATGAGTTTGAGTAAACTCCGGGAGCTGGTGTTGGGCAGGGAAGCCTGGCGTGCTGCAGTCCATGGGGTCGCAAAAAGTCGGACATGACTGAGCGACTGAACTGAACTGAACTGGGCTGTACTTTTGTATCACTGCTCCAGATCATGTTCCAGAACGGCCAGGGCTGAACTAAAACGACCTTCTGCCTTAAGTTCGGGTGGGTCATCCGCAGAGGGCGGCTGATGCTTGCTGCTCCTTTGGAGAGGTGCTCATGTTGGTGTTTCTTACTCCTTCTCAAAAGACAGGAGCGGGTCGCTGCAGACGCCTGCCGGCTTTCTGAGGTCATCCACTCGGGGGTTGGTGACTGAGCCTCCCAGGGCTCCGAGGTCTCCCCGTCCTGCTGCATTTGTAAAGAGACTTGAGCACCCTTGCCCAACAAGTCCCCTAGAGCCTGTCTTCAAATTTTGGCCGGCTCTGCTTTTGTTTAGCTTTGACTTTCTGTTTGTCTTTCACTTACGACAGTTACATTCAGTTGCCTGCGGCGGGGACGGGTTTGCTTTTTTAGGGAGGGGAGGGTTCACGCGGCCCAAAACTCTTGCAGCCGTGTGTCCCCCGTCTTGAGGCTCAAGAGGTGAGAAGGTGCCACCTGTTACCTGGACTGGATGGGGGTGGAGAGCCGTGGGTCAGCCTGTGCAGTGCCCACGGGCTGGGCATGGCCTTCGGGCATCCTTGCTCCCCCCTGGGCAGCTGTCCTCAGAGGTCCCCTCTCTTGGGGAGTGCCATCAGCTTTTGCACACGGGTGATTCCTGCCACCTTTGCTCTTCTCTGCCAGAGCAATTGTTTCAGAGAGGAAGCTCTTTGGGTCATAAAATGTCATCTGGTAGTTAGTATGTGGTTATATAGATGTATTGAGTTATACAGTAGCCTGATTAGCAGGAAGTAGGTGATTCATCAGAAAAAAAAAAAAAAAAAACACACANCCAACCATCTCATCTGTCGTCCCCTTCTCCTCCTGCCTTCAGTCCTTCCCAGCATCAGGGTCTTTTCAAATGAGCCAGTTCTTCACATCAGGTGGCCAAAGGATTGGAGTTTCAGCTTCAGCGTCAGAGAACTAAGATCCCGTTTTCTGTGTGCTGCAGACACACACACACACACAAACACACACACACACACACAGAAACACCCCCGAGGCCTCCCTGAGGTGCCGTGTGTGCCCCTGCTCTGGTGGAACATCCAGTTTACCCGTTTCCCTTGGTTTGGTTTGCCTCGCAGATCCAGGAGGCTGCGAGTCGTGGCCTGAAGTTCGTCGGGGTCGTGCCTCAGTACCGCTGCCCTGGGAGCCCGGCGGGTGGCTGCGCCCCAACAGGTGCCCAGGACGCGACACAGGAGCCTGGCGGTCGTGGGGCTGCAGACGCTGCAGCGGGGACAGACGGAAGCCCGGAGCCTGGCCAGGACCCCCGAGGGGAGACGCCCGCCGCCCAGCAGCCCAGCTTGCTCCCGGGAGAGGGGGACGGTGCAGAGTCTCCTGCTCGAGGGACTCGGGAGGGACCAGATGCTGATCTGCCGTCGGAAGGGTCTGGAGAGCTGCCCGCGGCCAGTAAGTATGTCAGCGCCGGGACTCTGAGCCGCTTGGAGTGCGGCTGCTAGCTTTCCAGTAATCGCCAGGGGCCTTTTAGGAAAAATGAATGGAATCTGAGCGTAGAGATGGCAGTCATCAAACGGGAGAAGCTGTCAGGCAGTTTTCCGGGCCTCCTGACTCTTTTCCTTCCTGAAGCTGTGCCTTCTGGGGGTGGAGGGTGGGCAAACCACGTGACTCTGACTTGTCACGGCTCCAGAATGTCACATGTGCAGCAGGTTCTAGAATGCAAGGTGTTTTCTCCCCCACGCCCACGCGCTGCCCCCACATGACCCCGTGTGACCCCAGGAAACGTGGTGATGGCTGGGCACTGGTGCAGAAAGCACCTTCCACGTCTGGTCCTCTTGTTTTGAATTTCTGCCTAAAGAAGGAAATCCAGAGCACCAGCTGAGGACGAGGTGTGCAGGAAGCTGGTGATTCAGCCCTCGCAGCTGTAAACAGCCAGGCTTCGGGGAGTCTGTCTCGTGGACAGACCAGCACCGTGGAACACACGTGACCAGGGAGAGGCCGCCGGGAAGCGACTGTTCTGAGTCGTGGTGTTTAACGGCCGCTGGGGCATGGACTTTAGGTTGGAGATTTCAAATAACGATTCAGGAAGGAGGCTGGCAGCCAGTGTTAACGACGGCTTCCTTCTTCCTGTGATGTGGATGGCCGCTTTGTATCATCGCCCCCTTTACAGCTGAGCAGACTGAGGTTCAGAGAGTCCATCCGTCGCCCAGGCTGGAAACAGATCTGCTGGGTGAGCCCAGGCCGGGTCCCCACCTGGTCCTTCCTGTGTGATGCTCAGACAGCCGATCAGGGTTTACTGAGGCCCTCAGACTGCAGAGAGTGACGTTTCTCTTCGTTTCCGTGTGATTCTCTTTCACTTTCCTGCTCCAAGAAATCTCACGTCCCGCCGTTTTCTGGAAGCCAGGCCCTTGTATGAGCTGTCTACCCTTTGGAAGGTGACGAGTGACAAGACTGATGGAAGGAGGCCCAGGTCTTAGGAAGACTTTCTCTTTAGGCCTTTCTGGATCATCTCCCTGGTTAATGTTATTGCTGGTGGTGGTTTAGTTGCCAAGTTGTGTCTGACTCTTGCAGTCCCAGGGACTGGCCCTCCGTCCATGAGATTCTCCAGGCAAGAATACTGCTGTGGCTTGCCATGCCCTGCTCCAGGGGATCTTCCCCACCCAGAAATCGAACCCGGGTCTCCTGCATTGCAGGCAGATTCTTTACCAACTGAGCTATGAGGGAATCCCCTGGTTAATGTTATTATTTATATACTAATTCTTGAGGTTAGCTTCTTATAAATGACGAGAAACTGCTTATGCTTTGAGAATAGAAAAGGGTGAGGGACTTCCCTAGAGGTCCAGTGGTTAAGACTCTGCACTTCCACTGCAGGGCACACAGGTTCAATCCTCGGTCAGGGAACTAAGATGCCGCATGCCACATGGTGCAGCCAAAAAAAAAAGAGAGGGTAAAATAGCTTTTCTTGTTATGTTGTAGATCTCGAAAAGAAAATTGTGGGATGGTTAATCCTGGGGCTTGTCTGCAAAGATGACTTAGAAGGGGAGATGGCAGCCACCTCACTTCTCGGGGAGATTAGGACTAGTGTTTCATCCGGGCCTTGATTAGTGGTGGCTCAGATGGTAAAGAATCTGCGTACAATGCAGGAGACGCGGGCTTGATCCCTGAGTCAGGAAGGTCCCCTGGAGGAGGGCATGGCAACCCACTCCAGTACCCTTGCCAGGAGAATCCCAGGGACTGAGGAGCCTGGCGGGCTGCAGTCCATGGGGTTGCAGAGAGCTGGGCATGACTGAGCGACAGAGCATGCATGCCAGATGAGATGTCCACTTAAAGCACTCCGAAGTAGGCGCCCTTAGCACTGGGGTGCAGGCCCCGTCATCCCGACCACTGCCCCCAGCTCTGCACGGAGCCCTGGCTTTGAGAAAGGAGGCTGTCGATACTGAAGGGCCCTCAGGAGTTTCAGACGTTCCCTGTTCCGGAGTGCACCTTCCTCCAAGACTCCCTCCAGACGGCCTGCCCCCTGGGGTTCAGTAACTGGGGAGACTTGTCCCAGGACTTCCCCCCCAGGGGCCCCCTGCTGTAAGTGACTGTTCCTTCCCTCAGGCCCTTCCCCCATCACTGGGGGACACCCCAGAGATGCCCCCCAACACCCAAGTGTCTTGGCCTGCACCTCATTTCCTCACGCCCCTGCTCTCTACCGGAAAACCAGAACCTTCTGAGGGATGCAGGTTCAGGCGCATCTGGAGGCGGTCAGCCCGAGCGCGTGTGAAAACTGCAGCTGTGAGGGGTGATGGTGCCCCTGACCCCCAGTCCTGCTTGGTAGGCGGCTGTCTGTCTGTCTGTCTGTGGTCTGCTCGTGAGCCTGGCTCTCAGCTCTCCTCGTAGGAGGCCACAGCTCTTTGAGACTTAGGTGGCTCACTGTGGCCCTTCTGTCTCTTCTGGTGGAATAAATGAATCTTTGGCTCTTTCTCATCAGCCCGTGAACACGCAGGGGCTCCTGGTGCCCAGGCTTGGCCTCCAGGGGACAGACAGAGGACGGTCATCATGGTGACAGCCCTCCAGTGGCCGGTTCTCCGCTTGCCTGGGTGACCATGCGTCACAGGAGCTTTGACAGAAGATGCTCTTACTACGCCTGTGTCGCAGATACAGGAAGTGGCCTGTGCGCCCTCGTAGAGTTACACTTTATCTCATAGTCTGAGTGTTGGTGATTCCCCGGGGGCTCAGCTGGTAAAGAATCCGGCTGCAATGCGGGAGAACTGGGTTCAATCCCTGGGTCGGGAAGATTCCCTGGAGGAGGGCGAGGCTACCCACTCCAGTATTCTGGCCTGGAGAATCTCATGGACTGTATAGTCCGTGGTGTTGCAGAGTTGGACACGACTGAGCGACTTTGCATTGAGCATCAGTTGAGCATAGTTTCCGCCCCCTCGAAGGCTGGCCAGGGACGCTCTCCCCGCTGGTCAGCTGGCCCGGCCCCTCAGCTCAGCCCAGCTTCCGTCCTGGTTGTTTTCCCATCCCGGGGCGTCCCCCAGCGCCCCCTCCCCGCTCTCAGCCCCCCTCCTCTCAGGAACCCCTAAGGAGGGCCAAGTGCTTTAACTCCGCTTCCTGCCCGGTGGGTTTAAATAGGCAATCACAGCAAGGCAATTAAAAAAAGACCTGGTGGGCGTCTCCCTGCTCCCGCCGCCGCTCTGCCTTTAATTCTTCCGCTGTATAAGCGCCGGGGGGCCTCCGTCTGCCCGGGCGGCCCTCCACCCCCAGGGCCATGGGGACACTTGGGTCCAGGGTTCGCTCCCCACATCCACCCGGGCTACCCTTGTCTGGGGAGCGTTCTGTCGGCTTGACGTCCGCCGGGCGGGCCTCCCTCCACACCTGCCTCATTTCCGGCTGCGGGTGGATGCAGGGCCCCCGGGAAGAGCCGGCCCTCCCTGGGGCTGGGTTCTCGGTCCATTTCTGTGCCAGGGTGGAGGGAGGCAGCTTCCTTCATTGACCGTAAGCAGGCCAGGGTGCAAGGCCTGGGCTCGGGAAGCTTAGAGCGGCATCGCTGGATAGGTGTTCCCCGGCCTTCTCGTCTGGCCTCCGGCATCCCTGTCTGGTCTCGGGCGCTGCGGCATCAGTAGGAGAAACGAGGGGGCCACCCTGGTTCATGCAGATTCAGCTTGTTCTGTCACCCGAGTAATAACACAGCGTTGTCCCCGAGTTGCCCTTCCTACCTGCACCGGCTCACTTGAAATGTCCAGAATGCAGAAGCCTGAGCCGGATCGCCGTGTCCTTCTCCAGGGCCTTCTATGAGCAAGCCTCCTGGCAGGCAGCTCCTTATGGGAGGACGGCCCCCGAGTCTGCCCTCCCTCACCGGACCTGGTCCTCCCCTCCCGGAGCCCCCGGACAGCTCTGCCCTGGGGTCCGTGCGCTCCCCCGCCTGCCGCCATTGTCTTGGCCGTTTGCACTCAGTCTGTTTACAGCAGCCGCTGAGCACCTCCCCGCCTGCCTACAGGCGTCAGCTCCGGCTCTTTCTGCTGAGGAAACCGGCCTCTCGTGAGGTTTGGGAAACAGCCCGGGGTTGGGAGATTTTTGGAAGAGTCTTGACATGTTGAAGCTGAAACTACAATCCTTTGGCCACCTGATGTGAAGAGCTGACTCATTGGAGAAGACCCTGATGCTGGGAAAGATTGAGGGCAGGAGGAGAAGGGGACGAAAGAGGATGAACTGGTTGGATGGCATCACCGACTCGATGAACATGGGTTTGGGTGGACTCTGGGAGTTGGTGATGGACAGGGAGACCTGGCATGCTGCAGTCCATGGGGCCACAAAGAGTCGGACACAACTGAGCGACTCAACTGAATTGGCTTTGCCACTTGCCGGCTTGTGATTCTGAGGAATCCATTTAAGGCTTCCGGGGCGTAGAAGGGACACAGTTTCCCCCGTGGAGGTGGGCATCGCAGGAGATGGTGGCAATGACGACCCTCACTGATATACTCGCGTCCCACAACTGCTGTCCAGGCGGTGGGTCCCACACTCTGCCTGGCGAGCCGACCTCCCCCAGGCCCGGAGGTGCCCCACGCTGCACCCACACCAGAAGCGGCGTCTCCCCGCCCCCAGCACCTGGCTGGGCCCGAGGCCCCTCCTCCCTCTCGCGCTGTGGTGCCCACCACCCCGTCCTCGCAGTGTAACCTTTGGCCCCAGCCCTCCTGCGGTGACCTCAGCTGACCAGGGCCCCCGCCCAGCCTGGCTCCCAGGCCAAGTCTGGTGCCCACTTGTCCCTCCACCCTGGCCGACGAGCCAGCCGGCTCCTTCTCCCCATCTAGCCAGGGGAGCTCGTGCTTTCAGCCTGACTCTGAGCCCCCCCCTCCCTCCTGCTGCCTGGAGGTCCCCCGGGATGCTAGGACCGCGGCAGCTCAACCTGCGGGTCACCATCTTCCGGGGGCCCCAGCTGCAGACAGACTGCAGGCGTCCGTCCCGTGCCTACGTCCCTACTGCCCAGCACCCGCCTCGGACCTGGGCGTCTGCCTTCTTCCTGCTCGTTCCCAGGGAGCCTGACAAGGCCTGACTGGCTGACCCTAGCTGCAGGCACCCCGTGCCCCCCACCCCGGCTGCTTGCGCTTTTCTGGCTGAGGTCAGTCCAGCGAACGCACATGCAGCCCCGGACGTGTTTTCTAGACTGCCACTTTTTCTGGACACCGAGGGTCTAGGTGGCACCAGACCAGGCTCCCTGCCCCTGTGTGCACGGGGGTCAGAGGAGACGAGACAGAAATAGAAATACAAGACAGAACCGTCTGGAAGCTGCTTGGGTGCCCTGCCAGGCCCGGCCCGCAGCCATCCTTGGAACATTCTCAGCAACAACGCCTTCCCCCTCCTTGGGGACTCTGTCCCGTGTCTGCAAAAATCTTCCAGCTGGGGTCAGGGCAGAGTCAACGGAGCAGCTGAGAAAATGTAAACACACTTGGTCTTCTTTGTGGAATGCCTGGTGGCCGCTCCCGTGAGGATGTGTGCTGGAGAGCCAGAACATTAAAGCATCAAAGGGTGTCGTCTGGGGACAGTTTCTCTTGGCTGGTTTCCGGGCGAAGACCGTGACCGGGGAGCCGGCGGGACAGAGTTTACTGCGGGGCTGGGCATCTGCAAGCAGGTTTCTTCTCATGCTTTGGAGGCTCTTGATTCCAATAGCCTTCCCCCTTTCTTCCCGAAAAGTTTTATTTCTGTCTCTGGCTCTGACCCCGCTCCCCGGGGAGGACCCAGATGGAGAGCTGGGCGCGCTGGCAGCACCCCGCCGCTGGCCGGGTCTGCAGGCTGTCTTCGCAGCCCCGGGCCTGCACCCGCCTTCTCCTTCGGCCTTCCCCTTTTCTGTTTCGTTATGCGTGTGGGAAAGTCATGCTTCTGTCTTGCCGTGTGACTGGGAGTCCTTCTGTGTGATCAGGTGTTGGGCCGCTTCTCAGTTCCCCTTGTGGAGGCTGTGGTTTCTTTTTCTTCTTAGTTTGCGTGCCCTTGGGCTTGCTTGATCGTCACTGAGTGCGGTGACCCCCACCGTGGGGGTCACCTGAGGACAGCTTCCCTAGCCTCTGCCTGCGGTGTTCTCTGGAATGGGCAGGTGCCCCAGGCATTAATGCCCCAGGAATGGCCTCAATCCCTGAGGACGGATGCCCGCCTTCCTTGTCCCTCATAGGGCAACACGCGGTACCTCCAGTCCCCAGTAACCTGCCTTGGCTTTCGTCTCCCCCTTGTTTCTTATCCCTGCTCCCCCACTCTTATTTTCTGGGATGACTCCCCAGAGAAACAGCTTGCACCCCGAAACTTACAGGGTCTGCTTTTGAAGAGACGCAGTCAAGGCCTCCCTAAAGCCTGCCTTCCACTCTTCCCTTTTGGCAGCCGCAGCTCTTATGTGAACCCCCGACTCTTCGGACTAGAAAAGGGCACTTCCTCTCCCACCCCCCAGCCCTAACCCCCTTGCTTGATTCTCTTCCTTTACAAACCTTTCACGGCATGATTCCATGGCTAACACTTGTATTTGAAACTCACAAAATAGTCGGGGGATTGCTAGCTCCATATACCATGAGCTAATTTCTCCCCTGAAAGCAAATGCCGGCTGCCTTTTCCATGGCTTCCTGAGTCAGGGAAGTGGACCGAGGAAATAATTTGGGGTAAGGATGAGGGACAGGCCAGCATTGGTTGTTGGAGAGCCGGGCGGCCGTTTGTGAAGATGGGGTCCCCTCCTTCCTCATTGCTTCTAGCCCCTGGATTGCTCGAAACGGCCTGCCTGACGGCTTCACTGTTGCTGACAGCAAAGTCTTTGGCCCGGAATTGCTCCCTGGGGTCCCTGCTGGCGCTCACTCAGGTGGGGCTGTGGAAAGACTCCCTTTGTCCCAAAATACAGTCGTCCTGTGAGATAACTTGAGATGCTACGTGGAGAAACGTTCTTGGTGTGAAAGTGCCTCACCACTTGCTCCTGTTTGTGGCAAATGGTGATGGTTTCCCTTATGGTCGTGAAGCATCGTTTCCTGTTTAAGCACACTTTTCTAGATAAAGGAAAGTGGGTCCATTTTCAAAGGTAATGTATTTGGAGACTGGAAAACGGAAATAAATAGGGGGTGCAGTGTCCCAGAATGTGGGGTCCAGGCAAGGTGTCTCCTACAGGGAGTGTGTGGGTGTCTCTTGTCTTTTCTGCTAATGTCAGCCATTGTTTATGACCTTTAGAATATTTCTTTGGAAGAAGGGTGGGGATTTTGTTATTATCTGCGTAGATATTTTTGGAAACCAAAGCATGTTCCTGAGTAGCCTGTGTAAGCAAAGCTTCTCAAGCGGGGTGAACTCTTGATTGCCCGACTAAACGAGTGACACAAAAATAGACCTTCAGCCTTCGATTGAAACTCCAGGTATTTGCTTCCGGAAGCTGAGGCTGCTCGCTCGTGGCCGGCTGCACGTAGGGCGGGAGGCAAGGGTCAGCTGCCGGGTGGCAGGGAGCATCAGTTTGTAAAGAGCCCAGCCATAAAGGAAGGCCCAGGAAGCTGCGCCTCACTGTCAGGGCCTATGTGGCTGTTGGAGGGGCCTTACCACTCCAGGCAGGAACCCTCACTTACTGGAACGTATTTATTTTTACATTTCAATCATGTATTTTTGATGCACTTGATTAAGTATTATGCACTCAGCCCCAGGAAACACCACTGCAGTTTATAAATAGTGAATTCAGGGAGGTGCAGAGTTCCTGGAATTACGGCAGTATTTTTGTTTTTTCGTGCCTCTGTGCATTTCCTTTTTAAAAAAAAAAAAAAGATCAGCTCTTACCCCAAAACATGTCTGCTTTTTCTTCTAAAATACACCTTTGTATGGATTTCTAGAAATGTCTACTATGTCCTTTCAAACACCTAAACCATACCAACTAATCCTAGCTAACAGCTGTTCACCATGTGTCATACTCAGGACTAAGTCCTGTTGACTAAAAAATGCACAGCGTGAGAGTTGCGAGTTAAGTTTTCCTGGGGACTTAGCCTGGGAGACAACATTTCCGGCAGCCCTGAAAAACGGCTCCAGAGAGGTAGGGGGAGAGGTCAGTGTTACATATGGTTTCAGTGAAGGGGATATGTGTGGTCAGGCACACGTTTTGGTGGAGGCTTGCTGCTAGCCACAAGGAGCAGATGTCACCAGTAATGATTTTAGTCCTTTTCTCAATTGGAGGAGATGCAAGAATTCGGCTCATAAAATGTTCTCTTAAAGATATCTCTCTAAAGGCTTAACCTGCCAGTTTTTCGCAGAGCACAGGATACCCCTTTCCTGATCTCCGCTCTGGATGCCTCTCAGGGGGTGTTGAAGGTCCGTGGCTGCAGTGGCCGAGGACTTCATCCTCGTGGGCGCGGATGACAAGTGCCGGTTTTCTGTTGGCAGTCCCCGTAGGACTCGGCCTTCGAGGCCCGTGTTGCTTTCGAGGCTCCCTGACATGCTGCCTGGGTTTTCTTGTTGGGCAACATGCAGCCTCGGAGAACGCTGGCCTTTGACGCCATGTCTGCAGGTTCCTGTTAGATCGTATCCGGCCCCATGAGGCAGTTTGTCACCGTTTGACCTCCTGTCTCCCCGTTCTCTTTGCGAATCCCCGCAGAAATGGAGATCTTCGCCCTTTTCAACAAACCGAAGAGCCATCAGAAGTGCCGGCAGTACTACCCCGTCAGCATTCCTCTCCGGGTCTCCAAGAACGGCCCGACGGTCAGCGGTCTGGACGCCAACTGGCTGGAGCACATGAGCGACCACTTCCGGAAGGGCGGCGTCCTGGTGAACGCGGTCTCCTGGCTTGGCTTGGTCCATGGTAAGGACACATCCCCCACCCCACCATCAAATGGCCCTCCTGAACCCTGCTTCTCACGCCTGTTATCTCAGCCCGGCTTCAGAGCCCCCCCCCAATCAGAAAGTTCCGCGGGTTTGATTTCAGTTCACACATCTGGAGTCGCTGCAAAGCCTACACCCACGTTCGCCCAGCCCCTCCAGGAGGCAGCCAGGTCTATGCTACCACCACGGAGAAGGGGAAGGGCAGTTTTGTTGCATCATGGTGGCCTCCATCGAGGTTGCTTTTAAAGGCTTTTAAAGAGATTATTCCTGGGGTTTGTTAATTACCCCCTAGGATCCTGCCGCTCTGAAAGTGCAAATTGTTTGTAGACACCATTGCAGCTTGAAGTAACAGTAGCAGCACCTTGGAATTAGCAGCAGAAGCGTGAACGGAACAGCTGGGTTTCTTAAACTCCGTCGGGATGCGCGCTGCTCCCGGGCCTCACGGCACCCGGCGGCCCTGCCGGTAATGGGTTCTCTCTGGGGGTTTGCTGCTCAGGCAGCACTATTGGTGTTAGCTCCTCCGAGGCGGACAGAAAGCTTGCCCCAGATGGGTAAATGTGTCAAGCAAAGAAGGAGTTTTCAAGCTAACGCGAAGGTGGGTTGAGTCGCTAGCGTGCATCGAAAGCCAGAGACCATCTGGGGCGTGGGGCCAACCCACAGGCACATGTGGATCCTGAGGGCTGCCAGTCAGCAGGATTCTTGAGCAAGTGAAACGTAAAGTAACACGTATCCGTTGATCCCAGTGAAACCTGGCAGGGGGCACTGACGTTGAGCAGTTTTCTCTCTAAAAAGTAGCAGAGTCAGGAACAGAGATTGGATTCTGTATTACTGGCAGTCCTTGAGCTGCTAGCAAACATCCTTGGAAGAGGCATCAGTCTTAATTCTGAGTGTTCATGGGTGCAGTCATCCAAAACCTTAAGAACGTTGTAGAGTACAAGCCAGTCTTGTCCAGTGCAAGTCCTTTGTCACTATCTAAATAGCAATATCTAATGGTAACGAGTCCACGTAGGAGCAGCAGGCACTGCATAGCATCGTGGGCCACGCCCACTTGTGGATGGAAGCAGGACATAGGATAGGAGATGAATGGCCCGGTGGGACTTGCTGTGTGGGTGAAGATGCTCTGTGCCACCAGCCACGAGTGGCCCCTGACCACTGGAGATGTGGCAAGTAAGACTGAGAAGCTCAATTTTTAATTTACTTAATTTTTTATTAATTTCCATTTCAGTAGCCATAAGCGGCTCTCAGCTAGTGTACTGGACAGTGCAATCCTAAAGTGTATTTTCCTTTTTAAATAACTGTATTTATTTGTTTTCGCTGTGCGGGGTCTTCATTGCCGCATGCAGGCTTTCTCTAGTTGCAACAGGCGGGGGCTCCTCTCTAGTTGGGCCTCTCTGGGTGTGTGGGCTTCTCTCATTACAGAGCATGGGCTCCAGGGTGCGCGGGCCTCAGNAAAGTGTATTTTCCTTTTAAAATAACTGTATTTATTTGTTTTCGCTGTGCGGGGTCTTCATTGCCGCATGCAGGCTTTCTCTAGTTGCAACAGGCGGGGGCTCCTCTCTAGTTGGGCCTCTCTGGGTGTGTGGGCTTCTCTCATTACAGAGCATGGGCTCCAGGGTGCGCGGGCCTCAGTCGTCGTGGGCCTCAGTCGTTGTGACACGCGGGCCTCAGTCGTTGTGGCACGTGGGCCTCAGTCGTTGTGACATGCGGGCCTCAGTCGTTGTGACATGCGGGCCTCAGTCATTGTGGCACGTGGGCCTCAGTCGTGGCACGCGGGCCTCGGTCGTTGTGACATGCGGGCCTCGGTCGTTGTGACACGCGGGCCTCAGTCACTGCGGGCCTCGGTCATTGTGGCACGCGGGCCTCGGTTGTGACACGCGGGCCTCGGTCGTTGTGACATGTGGGCCTCAATCGTTGTGGCACGCAGGCCTCAGTCGTTGTGGCATGCGGGCCTCAGTCGTTGTGACATGCGGGCCTCAGTCGCTGCGGGCCTCGGTCGTTGTGGCACACGGGCCTCGGTCGTTGTGGCACATGGGCCTTGGTCGTTGTGGCACATGGGCCTCGGTCGTTGTGGCACGTGGGCCTCAGTCGTTGTGACATGCGGGCCTCAGTCACCATGGGCCTTGGTCGTTGTGGCACGCGGGCCTTGGTCGTTGTGGCACGTGGGTCTCGGTCGTTGTGACACACGGGCCTCGGTCGTTGTGGCACGCGGGCCTCGGTCATTGTGACTCGTGGGCCTCGGTCGTTGTGACACGTGGGCCTCGGTCGTTGTGGCACGCGGGACTCAGTCGTTGTGACACGTGGGCCTCAGTCGCCGCGGGCCTCAGTCATTGTGATTCGCGGGCCTCGGTTGTAACACACGGGCCTCGGTCGTTGTGACACATGGGCCTCAATCGTTGTGGCACGAGGGCCTCAGTCGTTGTGACATGCGGGCCTCAGTCGCCGCGGGCCTCGGTCATTGTGACTCGTGGGCCTCGGTCGTTGTGGCACGCGGGCCTCGGTTGTGGCATGTGGGCTTCAGTCGTTGTGGTTCACAGGTTTAGTTTCCCCATAGCATGTGGAATCTCCCCAGACCAGGGATCGAACCTGTACCCCCGCCTTGGCAGGGTGGATTCTTAACTGCTGGGCCACCAGGGAAGCCCTAGAGTATTTTTCATTAATACAGCTAAGGAAGAGCCAGTTCGTTCCCTGTCGACAAGGTCAGTAAACTCCCTGAGCGCCAGGAGCCCTTCCCTGGGCGCCGGCAGAGTTCCTGCAAGCTGGGGGCCGTGCTGGCTGGTTGGAGACGCACCATCCGACCCCAGGCCACGTGCTCAGAGCAGACGGTTACCACCTAGCTCACCGGCGTTGGAGGGCCCGGTGGGAACCCTTTTCCTCCTGCTTCCTCAGGGACAGCCCGTCACGCCTCTCTGGGCATGCAGTGACGGCTCCTTTTTAGCTCCTCCTGGGCCCAGAGAGGCGCTCTGTGGCTACGCGTGGTTTTAAGTCTCCGCCTGGGAAACCGACGGTTAGTTGTACTGGCATCTTAAAGATGGGCAGGGAGGCGTGGGGGCCAGGAGCTGCCCAGGCCACCGCTGGTCCTGCTCTACCCTTGAGGGAACTGGGGCTTCAGAGAGGAAGTTCTCTCTTTGGCCCTTTGCCTCTCAGGGCCGAGCCAAGCCCTGAGAGAAGACACCGTGAACACGAAAGTCTCTCCAGCCCTTCAGTGTCCGTCTGGCTGTCGCGCTTCAGCCGTCTAGGCTGCGTTCTCACCTCCACTCCTCTCCTCCCCTCATTCTCCAACCTTGAGCCGAGAAACACAGACAACGCATGCAGTCTTTCTTCGCATCTGACTTGAGCGTTGGAAACGCCGTTTTAGCCTCCCTTGGCTTCAGCTGCATGAAATCCAGCCTTCCCACCTTGAAGACAGAACGTGACATTTCCTCTGGCGCGTGAGCGGGAAGCCTTGAGCTGAGCCCGCGGCGTCTCCACAGCAGGGCTGCCCTCCTCAAGTCCGGCTCCCCTGGCTGCGTATCCTTGTCCCGGGAACGCCTGCAGACTCCTCACATCAAAATGAATCTAAACCCACTCGGCATTCCAACAGGCTTTCTTCCTGATGTTTCTGATGGGGTGGGTGGGGGGTGACCTGGGAGCAGAACTTAACTGGGTGAGGGAGTTTCTGCCCTGGAAAAGCCAAGGCTTTCCGTTGGCCAGGGAAGAAATACATTCTTTTCCCAGAATTTGAAAAAAAAAAAAGAAAAAAAAAGCAAGCTAATCATCATTATAAAAGGAACCTGTTTCTGGTAGGATAATTAGTGTCCTTACAAATAAACCTGGCAGAGCCAGGAGCACGTCTTTAAGCTGTTCGCCATCTGGGAAAAAAAGCCCCAGTCTTCTGAACTGGATATTTGTGCTTCAAAATATTTTACACAAAGTCATAAAATGCCTGAGAACTTTGTCCCATAAATTAGGTAATGTTCAGCTTAAAGAACCCAGCTCAGTTCAGTTCACTCACTCAGTCGTGTCAGACTCTTTGCAACCCCATGGACCCGCAGCACACCAGGCCTCCCTGCCCATCAGCAACTCCCGGACTTTACTCAAACTCATGTCCATGAAGTCGGTGATGCCATCCAACCATCTCCTCCTCTGTCGTCCCCTTCTCCTCCTGCCCTCAATCTTTCCCAGCATCAGGGTCTTTTCAAGTGAGTCAGTTCTTCGCATTAGGTGGCCAAAGTATTGGAGTTTCAGCTTCAACATCAGTCCTTCCAAAAAACACCCAGGACTGATCTCCTTCAGGATGGACTGGTTGGATCTCCTTGCAGTTCAAGGGACTCTCAAGAGTCTTCTCCAACACCACNCAGAAGTCTGGGGTAGGGAGACCCACTCAGAACTTGTTTCCCACCAAGGGCTCCCAGGCCTGCGGAGTCCCTGCCGCCATCAGTGGGGGCGGGGCCGCCCTCGCTGGGGGCGGGGCCGCCATGACGGGAAGGGGCCGCCCTCGCTGGGGGCGGAGCCTCCATGACGGGGAGGGGCCGCCTCGCTGGGGGCGGGGCCGCCATGACGGGGCGGGGCTGCTCTCCCTGGGGGGGGGGCCGCACCGCTGTCCTTGCCCTGCAGTCACCTCCCTTTGTACCCGCTGCCTGGGCTTGCTCTGGGTCCCTCTTGGCCTCCCCTCCTTTGCCCGCCTTGCACTCCCCTTGGCCTTGTCCGTGGCCGTATCCCGGCCCTCCCCTTCCTCCTCTCTGGCCCTCGGCCTCCTCTCCCCACCCTCACCCCCACCTGGACTTCTGCCTCTGGCAGCAGCATCTCTGTGTAGCCTATTTGTACTTTTATCTTCCATCATTTCTAAAATGCCCTTTGCAGCACGTTGTCCAAACCAGATTCCAGTCCAGCCGCAAGCACCACATATGGTGACCACATCCTCAGTTCTCTTTGACCTGAAAGGGTTGTTCTTCAGGACCCTGCCTGCTTCAGATTAACCTAGACTCTTAGAGTGTCCTGCAT